GGGTCGCTGATTGCGAATATGATGTCAAAATAAAAAAAATCTGTGGACAGATTCCTAATCAGCGACCCCGAAACCCCTCGAGTAACGAGTTTCAGGCAAATTGAATCGATTTTTAAAAGTCGATCGCCATATTGGATCCAACATTTTAAGTTTTGAAAATCTGTAGTGGGATTATGCTTAGCACTGGCACTAAATAGAGAATTTCACTATTTAGAGCTTAAAACTAAAATTTAAATATTAATTTTTGTTGCTAATATAATTAATAATCATATTCATTTGCTATTTTCTAAAAAAAATTATAAATACAAGTTGGAATAATAAAAAGAAAATAAATATAACCCTCATAGTTAGCATTTTGACATGACAGTTTTGTCAAAATGCTACGCTTTATAGAGCTAATTTTTGCATAGTATTTCCCTGCCGGAAGAATGGACTGAAATTGTACTGGGGAATTAGTACTGAGAGATCAGTGCTATTTCAGTGAAAATTTGCTGCGTTTCAGCACTGAAATTGTACTGGGAAAAATTACCTGCAAAAGGGTCGCTATCGGTGATGTTTATGGCCTAACCGTCATTAAGTTGAAGGACAAATCTTTCTTTGTTAATGTTAAAAATAATTTTTATTCATATTTCAACATTATATTTGTTTTTCATGAACTCAGATTCTTTACAAGTAATTATTATGTATGCTAAATATTCATGTTAATCTAAATTCAAAAATAATATCCGTTTTTACGTAACAATTAAAGTTTGCGAGATAGTTTATAACTTTTTTAATTAAACATTTTTTAAAATAAATTTTAGATATTTGTAATCATAAAACATCACAGATTTAAATTTTTTTGTTTTGAAAATTGAGTTATTTAAATTGTGAACTTTTTAAGCCATAAAATTATAATCCCATACAACAATAGGCTTTCGGGTCTATTGTTAAAGCAGGGGTTGCAATATAAGTTTAGAATTTAACGGGAATTTCGTTGAAAATTTTGTTAACCTTTTTTTATTTTCACTTCTAAACTGTTAACAATGGTTTGTTGACATAACCTACATTTGAAACTATTGTTAAAGGACTTTAAAAATGTCTACCGAAACATTTCAAAAAACGGACTGAAATTGTACTGGAGGCCAGTACAATTTCAGTACTTTTTCAGTCCATTCTTCCGGCAGGGTTAAAACAATTGAAAGATTAATTTTAAATAAAACTTTTTTCTGAAAATCATATACACGGTAGTCTTAGAAATAATGCTTATTTGCAAAATATTAATACATGTATGTTGATAATTTTGTCTCTTAAATAATTAATTTGAAGAAAATTATTTTCTATTAAAATGTTGATTTTATCAAGAAAAACTATGTGCTTACTTTGACTTTATTTGAAATAAATCCATTGGCCTCACTATTGATAAAAAATATTTTAAGATGATGACTTAGATCAGATAGAATGAGTTGAAAAGATAAATAATAATCTATCGTACATTGTGATAAGGGTTTTGTGAAATATAAACATTCAATTACCGTAAACGTTTCGATTTATTTAGTTAATAATTATAAGAAATGTTTTAATAAAATCCATTTATTTTATTTTTATTCGTTTTATAGTGTTTATTCTTTTCTAAATTTTAAAATGTTGTTAACGTTAATTTTTAAATTATTTTAATATTTTTTAATAACTAATTTGTTTAAAAATTAGTAACAGCTAAAGAATATTGTCAAATCAAATCAATTAAAATCTATTAACAAAGAACTTAAACTGTATAATTGTATGTTTTCAAAAAAAATTATTGGAATTGATAAAAAATTGTATAAATTATTATTGTAATATTTTCATTACATATTAAATTATATTAATAAAGAGTTTGTGAAGTGTTAATAATTTTGAGTTTATAATATACTTATTTTCAACCAAGCAATAAATTGTTATTATAATTCAATTTTTGCGTTGAACATAAACGTTTTTATAACTTTCAAAAACATGTTTTCATTTAAATACAAAAATTTTAACAATCAATTTAAAACAAACTTTGTACAAAGAAATTTTTTTCGATAGAAATAATTTCAAAAAAGTTTAAAAATACAACAAATTTTGCAGACTTTTGTAAAAATGTTTTTAATTAATTTATTTATTAACAATATAAATGGGATAAATGCCCTTTGTATAGTACATTATAATTAAGCTACAAAAACGTAAAATACTGTGAGGCATTGGCATCTACATATATTGTATATATATCTTTAATATATTTTTATAAGAGATTTTTTATACAGACATAATTTTGGAAAAATTTAAAAATACAAATAAATTTTCAGACTTTTGTAAAAATGTTTTTAACATATTTTATATTTTATACAATTTTAATTTTAAAAATCAAAATCCAAAATAAACAGAGTTGCCACAAAAATTCAACTTTCTTTTTTCCTGATTTAAAGACAGAATTTTGACTTTTTTTGACCCTAAAGATATACTTATTTATTTTAAAAATAATAATTGGATACTATAAATAATAATTCGATAAAATGTTCCAATTCATTTATTTATGAATTTTTTTAATTGAAAAATTATTCAAAAAGAACAATAACTACATTTTTAAATAAATATTATTTTAATCATTACTATTTTTCCATAGAAATGACGATTTATTTTTATTTTGAGGAAATTATTTTCATGATTTATTTATTATTATTTATTTATTTTTATTTATTTTCATTATTTTTTATTATTTTTTTAAATTTAATTATCTCTAAAAGTTCATGGAATAATGCTTTTAATATTAAATTATTAATTAAAATTAATAATTTCTTTAATAATTGAATGTTTCTTAACATTAACCGACAGATTGGCTTAGTCGGATGGATGCCTGGCGTTGGTGGTCGTTTAAGGACCAAGGGTATAAGTACCCTTGGTTCGCGCCCACTTGGCTTGGTATTTTTCCGGCACGTGAGACAATGTGAGCGGGAGGTTTGACGTCGAGGTATAATGATGTGCACCGTCGATTATTGTCCGGTACACACCATTAGAACTCGACTGTCGATAAACCGGTTGTACTCAGAGAGGTTTTCTACAGTTTCCCTCTTCTCTGGCGAGAAAACCCATTGACGGGTGGTCCAGGCGTAATGCGAGTACTCCTAATAAAGTCGGCTGTAGACGCAAAATTAGGTTAATATATAGAAAAATTTCTAAAGTAGAATGGTTATGCTTAATCCAAAAAAGTATTTCTCGGGGACTCTTGTCGAAGTGCGTAAGGCCAATAGGGCAGGAGTATAAACAATATATATGTTTCTTAACATTGAATTTTTACGAAAAATTTTAATAACAACTTTTGAAAATAAGGGAAGTGTTCCGGTTGTGGGCACCCTTTTGTTTTTGCCTCATAACATTTGTCCATGTGCATATTATACAAATATATGTGTACGAATTTAAAGCTAGAGGTCTAAGGTGACTGTCAGTGAAGGAATTAAATTGATTCCTTTAAATAAAAAAGTTTTATTAGAAATTTAGTGAAATGGGAATTTTTTGACAAAAAAAATTTTGTACCCGGTTGTGGGCACCCTTGAAAAATCCGCTAAAAATGGAAAAATATTAAAGGAAACCAACACAAATAAAGAAGAAATGAAAGTTTCTTTATTTTAAGAGAATTTGCCGGGATAAAGAACAAAAATGATGACACGTTTTCACACTATGCTCATCGCTAACAAAAGCATAATGCTTGCATGTGAAGTAGCTAGTACGCATACCATAACGCACTTCTAATGCACTGAACGACTATATTCATCGCATTTAATGGAGTTTGCGGCTGTCACTTTCCTTGGCAGAAAGTTTAGATAGATGAGACAGTAGTCCTCATCATTGTCAGATGGTAGAGCCTCCTTAACATAAAGGTGCCCACAACCGGGAATGACAGTCATTTTTTAAAAAGACCAACACATTTTGTGATGCAGGATTTTGGTTAAACACGAAGGTAAATCACAAAATATAATGACAACACTGCAAAAAAAAAATTAAACCCTTTTTTTCTGAACGAATCTACACCCATATGTTGCTCTTCGAAAACAATACAAAATTACTTTTTTATTTATTTAATGCAAATTTTCTTTATTATGCTCACAGCTATTACACAAATGCATATATTTGTTTCGTTATCAATACGAAAAGTCCGTATTGTCAACGAACACGACTTGCAATACTTAGTTCAGTAAAGTCTGCTTGCCGTCGAAGTTTACGTAGGGGTGCCCACAACCGGAGGGTGCCCACAACCGGCGCACTTCCCCTAATTAATTTTTTTAAAGGAATTTAAGTAAAATTTTACAGAAATTTATTATATTAAAAAATTTTTCAAAATAATTGAATTTATTCGAATTTTAAAATTTATTAAATTTAATTGAATTTTGGAAAAGAATTTTATTAAAATTTCTTTAAATAATTGATTTTATGGGAAGAATTTTGTTGTTTATAAAGATAATTTTATTCTTTAGCAAAGTTATTCAAATGTTGAAGGTTTTATATTAGAATTCGTGGTAAATTCATAATTTATGAGGCAAACAAAAAAGACGATAAAAATTCAGAATTTTCTTATGAATTCTAAAATTTTAATTTTTTCCAGCGCTTTTAATAAAAATCTAACTTATCCCTGACTTATTAAAACCCCGAATAAAGAACGTAATGGAGCCTTTAAACCCTCGAATATCAAACTTCAAGAAAATTGAATTATAATTAAATAAAAAATTACTACCTATTGAAAAAAACTTTATATATATTTAATGTGTCTATCATAAAAGAGGGTACTTGAATAAGAATTTTATTAAGATTAGACAAGAAAAAGATAAAACAACATTTATTCAAGAAAACTGATCTCAGTATTATTTATTTACTTATTAACATTAATGATTTTAGTAAATAAAGAGAAATTCAAATAATTGTTTTTTAAATTTAACATAAATCTTCATGACAAACATTTTTATTTTAAATTTTAATTTTAGATTTTTTTAATTAAAACATTTGATTGATAATTAATAAAAAAAAGATGGAAAAAAGATTTTTTTATAAAAATTCAATCGCGGTTTATAATGGAGTGTAACAAGTCGTAACTCTCTATAGTTACACGTAACAAATTTTCTAGCGTTTCTGCTATGTTACGCAAAACTTCATTTAATTCCTCGTAGAGTTTGCCCATTGTTTCAACGTTCTCCTTCTAGAAAGAAAAATAGAAAAAAGAATTTTATATTAGGCTGACAATTCTCTTAATTAATTTTTTTAATTGCAGTCTATAATATAAGTAGTGTAAGAATAAGCCAGTGCTGACATTAAAATTTTGATTGAAATTTAAGAAAATTGACAACAAATTTATAAAAATATGACTTTACAGAGTTTAGTGACAAAAATTGATTTCCTGACATTAAAGTTTTTATTGATTCATTAGTTAAATTATTTAATTAATTAAAACAGTTAACTAAAATGTTATTGAAAATGTACATCTTTTGTATATTTAAATTTACTTGAATTATATAAGTTAGCAATAATATTAAGGAAATTTAAAAGAATGAAAGGAGTGTAGAAAAATAGAAAAGAATTTTAATAATAGAGATTGAAAAATGAATAGGAAAATATGATTTTTTAGTTTGATTAAGTTAATAATGTAAAAGCATACCAAAGGATTTGCAGATTTCTTGAATTTCTCTAAAATTGAAATGGAATTTATTTTTTTCGCAGGCGGTCCCGTAGTTTGATTTGATGACGTCTTCCTTTTTCTTTCTTCGAAAGGAGAAGGATTTGGTTTGGGTTTCTCGTCAACAATGGGTTTACCTTCAGGTACACCTTTTTTTGGGGTCTTCCAAAACAGTCTGCAATGGGACAAAAATGGTTTTTAGAATAGAAATAGATGAACAAGTTTAAAAACAGGAAGGAAAAGGATTTTATTTTTGCTTCTTATCAAAATGATTTAAATTTTAGTAACAAAACTATTTTTTCAGGGTTTTACAGAATAGTCTTCAATGAAAAAAAAATAATTTTAAGAGTAAAAATATAAATTAAACAATTAAAAAATCTGCATCAAAATAATATTTGTATATTTTAAGACATAAAAATTCAATTACAAGTTATTTATTATTAATAATATTGGAAAAGAATATTATAAAACGAAAAAAAGATTTGTTTAGACCTTTGTTTCATTTGATTGAAGATTTTCCATTTCGAATTCGTCGTCGTCCTCATCATCTTCCGCTTCCCCTTCTTCATCTTCTGAGGATATTATAAAACAATCGTTTGATTTTGGCAAATACTTTGGTGGATCTTGACGTGACTTTGTTGATACATCAGTTTCGGATTTCTTTTCATCCTTGTCCATTTCCTTGGCATCAATTGCCAAAATTCTCTCCTCAAATGGATTTAAATTTCCCTTCTGCTCAATTTTTTTCTTCGTTTTTCCGATCCATGATGATAAGGTCTGTTAAAATTTATTAGTTGTGAAAAGTTCATTTGAAAAAGAAATCAAAAAGTTTTATGGGAAATTATCTTGTTTTATCAAGATAACGTTATACTTAATTCTTTTAAATCATTTAATGGGAAATTTTTTACGGGATTTATATAAAACTTTATTTCGTTTTTCTCTTGTAATTTTCTTTATTTTTCTAAATATTTTTTTATTTTGTTACTATCTTTTACAAATCCGATTACTTGAATTATTTTCTATAATTTAATAAAATTCCATGAATAAATTATATTATTTTAGAAAAACTAGAATTATTTTAAAAACTTGAAAGAAATTGTACAAAAATTTTAATTACTTTCAAAATTTTCAATTAAAATTAGTAAAGAATTTTAATTATTTAAATAAATTGACAAAATTGAAAATAATTCTTCAAAAAAAAAATTAATTAGGATTTTCAATTATTTTTAACTCCTGTCTTATGAATTTTCAAAAACGGTTTTTTGCCCCTAAAATTAAATTTTTTTGTTTAATTAAATTATTTTTAATATTTTAGTCAACAATAATATTAAATTCAAACCAAACCACAACTAAATATTTTTTTATTTTGTTACTATCTTTTACAAATCCGATTACTTGAATTATTTTTTATATTTTAATAAAATTCTATGAATAAATTATATTATTTTAGAAAAACTAGAATTATTTTAAAAAGTGGAAAGAGATTGTTCAAAAATTTTAATTACTTCCAAAATTTCTGATTAAAATTATTATAGAATCTTAATTATTCAAAAAAATTGCCAAAATTGAAAATAATTTTTCAAAAAAAAATTAATTAAGGTTTTCAAAAATTCTCTAATAATTCTTAGCGAGAATTTAATTATTTTTATAAATAATAAAATTCTTTGAAGGAATCCAATTATTCTCAATTTTTTTGCAAGAATGTAGTGATTTTCAAAAAATTAAATTTTAAATTGAAAATATTGATAAAGAAAAATTATTATAAAGATTAGGAAATAAAAAAGTAAATAACAGCAAACTTCACACTGCAAGCAGATTACCGGAACACAATTATTAATATAGATTTTTCAATTAAGTATGTATTCAAAATTCTAACTAAATTCAATAAAATTAGAATACAATTTTTTAACCAACTGTTACATGAAAAGTAACTTACCTCTTAACATTTGTTATCCTCGTTTTAAATAAGAAATTCCGAAGAAATCTTATTTGGGAATGAGGAAAAAAGAATCAATGAATAAAAGTTAAGAATTAGTTAAAATGAAATTTATTATAAAATTGTATATAATGATTTCTTGAAGTTCGTTATTTGTATGTTGCCGAGAGAAGACCAGTTCCTTTTCCAATAAACACCTTTAACAAATAGGCGTTTATTAGATATAGAAATTGTATTGAATGGATATGATGAAAAGATTTAGTTAATTACCTTTATTGCTTCTATTCGAAGCTGAAAACCCGTTCTCCGCTCGTGCGTCCACAGTCAGTTCAGATGCACCGCCTTTCCAATTTTTACTGCTTGGAGATTTGACAATGGCTCGGTCACACACGAGATGGGTATTACTTAGACTGGGATAATCGTAGGTAACGAGTATAGATTCGCACTGACTACTGGTACAGAGATGATGTCGATCGGTTTGATTTAAATTAGATACTGACTGGATGCTGACTAGATACTGACTTTTGGATCCAAATTTAGGGCCTTATATACCCAGATCACATCCGTGTATCGACGTAATAGGGTTGTAAAAAGATTGCTCATCGATGGGTGTTTGTCAAGTTTGCTTGGTAACAGGTCTGGTCTAAGGTTACTTAGAGGTCACACACGTGGCATGTGACACCTCCCCTCTTAATTCAATCGCACAATTAAAAATTTGCGATTGAAGCTTCGGCAGAAGATTTGTCTAAAATTCTCGATATCGTAATGCATAAGATTAACTTTCTTTTAAATCGAAGAATCGTAGAAAAAGAATTCCAAGAAAACATTATTCTAGTGTTCATTGTGAAGAACAAAATATTTTAGTAAATCGTAGTACAATATGTTTGTTTAACATTATTGAGTAAAATCGTTTTAACATTATTTGTTAATTGAAAAAGTTTTGAGTAAGTCATAGAAAAATTTTGTATAAATCGTAGAACAATTTTTGAAAAATTTTGTATAAAAGAAAAATTTTGTTTAAATCGTAGAACAATAATCGTAGAAAAAGAAAAAATTTTGTTTGAATCGTAGAACAATTTTTGAAAACATTTTGTATTAAAAGAAAAATTTTGTTTAAATCGTAGAACAATTTTTGAAAACATTTTGTATAAAAAGAAAAATTTTGTTTAAATCGTAGAACAAAAATTTTTATTTTGAAAAAAAAATTTTGTATAAATCGTAGAATTTAGTTTAAATCGTAGAACAATTTTTTTTGAAAAAAAAAACTTTTTTTTTTAAATCATAGAACAATTTTTGAAAAAATATTTTATGTAAAATAAAGTTGTTTAGTAATTGTTAATTAAAAATAATTTGTTTAATAATATTTGTTAATATTTTTAAATTATTCGTAGAATATTATTTGTTAAAAAAAAATTTAATTATTCATAGTACATGATTATTTGTTAATATTTTGCAAAAAGTTAAAATTATTCGTGGTCTATTATTTGTTATTAGATCGTATTAGATCGAGTCGTACAATAATATTATTGTTCAATGTACATAGTTTACATTAAATGATTGAACATATTTTTTTTTATATTTTATACATTATTTTTATTATTAGTCGTAGGGAACTAAGTATTGAAATCAAATCGTTAAATATTATCTGTTAATAACTCATAGAGCACAATTACTTCACAGTGATTGAGTAAGATTTATTTAATATTAATTGTTCATATTTCTTGTTAAAATATTTATTAAATTGTAGAAAAGATTTTTAAAAAAATAGAAAGTTTATATATAATTTTTCCATCTTTTTTTTCATAAAGTCACTATTATAAGATTATAGTTTATAAATAATTTCAAAACTCGAGTTTTCAAATTATTGAGATCTTGAAATTTTGAACTCAACAAAATTAGAATATCATTAACTTAAATCGAATCTGTTTTGAAAAACTTTAACCTTTTCAAATTTTTTTCTTAAAAATTGATATTTTTTTTCTTTCAGAAGATACGAATAATAATAATATTAAAAATTCTTTAATGTAAATTCAATATTTTTTCTGAAGATCTAAATACCTGTAAACAACTTCCTTAATTGATTTATAGATAAAAATTACTTTATTGAAGTAAATATTTATTTAATAATAAACAAGTAATCAGTAATTATTAGTTAACCCTTAAACCGCACACTGCCGAATCCATCCTTAAACCGCACACTGGGTGTGCGACACCCGGGGACTTTTAAGTGTGTTCTCCAAGCTGGAATAGGATATTATCTTTTGGTAAAATTATCTTATATAGCTCAGTACATCTATTTTGAAGGAAAATAGGTTTCATAATGATTTATTTAATTTTAATAATTAAAAATGAGTTTTTTAAAACTACTGAAATTACCTTAAACCAAAAACTGGGTGTCAAACAAGCAGAAATTTTTCGCCGACAACTTCATAAAGTTATCAAATACACAAAGACACTTGGGAGACTAATATGTCCCTCACGGAAGATAAAGTTAAGTACAAAATGTATCGTCCAATAACGACACATGTTCAATTTTTACGAATTTAACCGAAATATTAGAGTAAAAAGCTAGAATATGGGTGTCGCACACCCAGGGTGCGGTTTAAGGGTTAAATTCACTTTTAGGTTACGTAAAAATGACTGAAATTTGTAGTAACTAATAATCCAAGTAGTGAAATTTTACTATTTTTGTCTCATAGTTGAGGCTTATTGGCTATATTTTATCTTACAGATGTTTCCGGCTCATTTAGCGCTGTTAAATTTAATAAATGAAGAAGAAGATATTAATCGAAGAGAACAATACCGCCAATTGCATTTGCTGCATGTTCATTTACGACACGAAAGCGATCCATTTAGTCTTCCTGACAAAAGATTCGTAGATTTATTTCGATTGAGTAAATATATGATTCAGTTTTTGATATTAACTTTAACGCCACACATGAGAATTAGGCTACAAGTGAACTCAATTCCACGGGAACTACGAATTTTTGCTGTATAAATTTTTTATGGCACTGGGACATATCAGAGGGTTTTAGGTCAATCATACCTTGTGAGTATGTCCCAGTCATCGATATGTAAGGCAATCTATGAAGTGACTATCTTAATAAATAGTAGTGTTGCGGCGATAATGGCGAGAGGCGAGACGAGACGAGAGAACTTTGACTCGAGACGAGACGAGACAGTATTTTTTTAATTATCGCTAAAACGATACAAGACGAGAGAGGTGTCACGAGAGACGAGAATTCTCGACGAGAATTTTTTTTAAATTGCAAAGTTTTATTCTGAAAATATATAGTTACGGTTAACATATAAAATATGATAGATATATGTATACTAAAATCTTTTATTGTTTACGTTGCATTTAATAGTCTTTTTAAACAAAATATAAGAAATTATAAATATTTTATATAAATTATATTTTTTTATACATAATATTTAGTAAATAAATTCTTTTTTAACTAAAAGTTGAAATTTAATTCATTTTTCAGTGTTTTTTTTAATGAGCAATAGGGTAAACGTATCAATTGTCGAGGATGGTTCCTGTTGTCGAGTAAACAAACTTTGAATTTTATTTAACCATTGGAGCACATTGTAAATGGAAAAAAGTGATAAATATTAATTTTCTTATGCGTTATAAATGTGAAAAAAATATATTAATATTATATCCACAAACAAATAAGACATTTTAGACAATATTTTTTGGTTATTACCATGGTAACATCGACAAATGGGACACCCTCGGCAATTTGTACACTTACCCTATTTAACGGAAAAATAAATTTAAAAAAATTGTGAAAAAAAAATTTGGGTTTGGATCATAAATTCAGTTTCTTTGCTTATTTTTAAATATTATTGTGAAAATGGGTTCTATATTTAGCTAAAAAAGTTAGCAACTTTTATATTTATCTTTTTAAAAATTATTTGATTTGAATTAAATAAGAAAATATTCACTTGAACTTGAATGAAATAATTTTTATTTTACTAAAATAAATTATTTTTGAACCAATGAATTCAGAATTTGTATCAAATAAAATTTATTTGATAATAAACAAAACAAGTAATCAGTTATTGGAGACAAAAACATTTTTTTAATGCAAAAAATAAAAAAATTTGCATTTTTGATTATTTGAAAATAAATTGTAACTATTATTCAGCTTAAGGAGGTTCTATCGATAGTTGATTTAATGAACAGATTTTGATAAAACTTGATGAGCAGCTAGATAAAGTTAATATAAAGGCGTAGTTAAATTTTTGTGACCTCTAGGTACCTATGAAAAAAGTTATAAACATTTTTGGTTTTCAACATTTAACATTGAGTCTTATGGAAATTGAGTAATTTGTCATATATATTTACATACTGCAAAGTATTAAATGAACAGATATTGTTCTAAATTTTATAAATACTAAACCGATATGCAATAATTATATATCTGTAAAAACAATTGTCAATAGGTACCTGTGAGATTTACAATAAATCAATTTGTAAACAAAATTTACGTTTCATCTGATAATATAAACAACACTTATAACGTTTGGCCAAACGTTTGGAAACCTTGCCAAACGTTTGGAAACCTTGCCAAACGTTATAAGTGTTGTTTATATTATCAGATGAAACGTAAATTTTGTTTACAAATTGATTTATTGTAAATCGACGTTGCATGCACTATACACATTAAATTTGAGCGCGAAATTTAAATGATAATTTTCATCACAGGTTAGAAATAATTCGGCGTTGCCAAACGTTTTACGTTATCAAGTGAGTCAAATCATTAAATATTTGTCACTGTTTTGACTAGCTGCGTCAAGCGATAAAATAGCTAAAATTTTAAACCAGACTAATACCTGAGAGACTACCAAGTCTCACCTTAATCGTCAAGTCATTTTTTCGTAATGTGCGAACAAAATTTTACAGACATATATGTATATCTAAGATAAATATTAACATTAAAAAAAATTAACACGTCAAATTTTTTACAATACTTCTATACAAAAGCTGAAAAAGACGAGAGAAAACTAGAATGTGTAGCATTCTCGACACTCGAGACGAGACGATAATGTGTAGCATTCTCGACACTCGAGACGAGACGATAAATTGCCCTATAATAACGAGACAAGACGAGACAGTTGAAATTATCGCCTCGTCTCGTATCGCGGCAACACTAGAGGAAACCTTTAAATATGCATAATATATTATTTTAAATAGTTGAATGAAATGGCGTAACACCTGGCATGCCCCACACTTAGGTACCCCATTTTGCCCCACACTGCCTATTAAAACAAAATGCAATGTTTCCAAGTTTTAGTAAAGAATTTAATAATCTATCCTATTGGAAATTACTCTAGAATAAGTGCTGAAAAAGACCCCATACTTGCCAAATTAAATGCATTATCCCAAAGGTTTTTTAAGCACTTTAATTTCGATAAATATTCATATTTTTTTTGCCTAAAACTTTAAAGTAGTATAACTTTCAAAAAAAAAAATTTTGTTGGAGTGTCTTCATAATAAATAACATTTTCTTATTAATATGAATGCTATATATCGAGGATAAAAAAATTAAAAAAAAGTACCTATCATGGAAAAACAGAGATACCCCATTTGACCCGCCTACCCCATTTTGCCCCACTATCCCCTACATAAGAAATTTGAGGGGCTATGTACAATATTCAATTACTTACAATCAGACAAAACAAAGTATTTTTAAGTTATAGTAGAGACACGTTTACAGTTTAATGTATATTGACCTTTTTTGGAAAATTTTTTTTTCTATCGACAGTTGTAGAAATGTACCCTTAAGGTCTAAGCGCAACTGCTTCGCGAAAGCAAACAATGAGTTAGAAAAGGACAGAGACATATTTGTGTCATTTTCTATCTCATGCACCAGCTTATTCACGAACGACTTTCGTAAACTATGGTTGGTTCCAGAATGGACTCGGCGCAAACGTAGACGAGACGC